GGGGACACTGTTCCAGCTTCAGTGCCTGCACCCTGGTCCAGGGAGTGCAAGTGGCACCCTGGTCAGGGGTGAAAGTGGCACCCTGCTCAAGGGGGTGACAGGGTCCAGGGGGTAAAAGTGGCACCCTGGTCAAGGGGGTGAAAGGGTCGGGGGGTAAAAGTGGCACCCTGGTCAAGGGGGTGAAAGGGTCCAGGGGGTAAAAGTGGCACCCTGGTCAAGGGGGTGAAAGGGTCCAGGGGGTAAAAGTGGCACCCTGTTCCTGGCGGTACAAGTGACACAGTCGTCTAGGGGCGAAGGGGGAAACACTGATGCAAGGGCGAACTGTTCGAAATCCCGGGGATTATCCTCTAGTGGAGATATTGTTCCAGGTCTTAGGGGTATATGTTTCCAGGGAGGGGACACCGGCGCTAGCCTGGGAACACTTTCAGGCCCCTACTAAAGCTCTTGGAGCTGATGGAATACTGTGTGATCTGCAGTGATGAGGATGGCTGGTGCTACGGAAACGTGATGTGAAGGTCTGCTTGACAGCCAGTCCAAGTCAATCTGAATGACAGTCGGGGTGCTGATGAGGTCTCAGCCGCGACCTGAAAGGTCGGGTGCACGTGGTGTGCTTAAGGATTATTGCCGCCCTATTCACCAAATGTGTAATATGGAGAATGTATCTTCCAGAGAAAAAGGAAAGATGCACCTGCAATAATTGCTCGCTTTCACATTTGGTGAGTGGAGAAGTTGCGACTAGTGTTTTCTGCGCTTGAGGATGCCTCGTGGGGCCGCGAAGTTGCAACTAGCATTTTCTGGCCCGTTCAGGCAAGCTTGGATGGTTTACCCCAGTTAGGCAGAGATGAGCAACGAGTAGTAGGGTACCCAGACCCAAACCTACCCGCACCCACCCCACCCACAAGGCATTGGGTCAGGTGTGGGTCTTGATAAGCTGGCATGGGTGGGATGAGGGGGTGGGTCTAGGCAAGCCAGCCTGGGTGGGTGACAGGTGGGTCAATGTTAGGCCTGGGTCACCGGAATGGGTGGGTAACAGGCGGGTGAGCACTAGGCCTCGGTCACCCGACCCACAGACCCAGAACAACCCATAAGAGCCCTCCCCCCCAACCCCATCCCCCTCATACATATTTCCCAGTTGTGGTCCTTGGCCCAGGAAACTGAAAGTCTCCACTCTAGCCCCCCCTGGGGAAAAAAGTTGTCGTCCTCGAAAAAAAAAGAGTGGCGCCAATGGCAAGTCGGACCTTGGGATCCTCCTTGAAAAAAAAATTGACACACTCTACTGGTGCGCCAGTGGCAGCTGGACCACGGCCCAAACAACGGGATGTTTGCTCCCATTAAAACAACGGGGATCGAACCTAACCACAGCAAGGGGCAAGGTTCGCTTCCCAATTTCAAGCTTGTGGAGGGCGTCCAATTTTCGCGCATTCATCCCAGGACGACCCAAAGTGGAGATGCTTCGAATTTTGGCGCCGTCATCCAAGGATGTCATGTTGCTGTGGTGCATGTAAATGTTCGTAAGGAACTGAGACAATGGGGAACGGGCGGGTGCGGGTTGAAAATAATTAGGTACTGGGTGCGGGCGGGTAATTTTGTTCTCGCGCATGTGGGTGGGTCAGGGTGTACAGGTGACGGACGGGTTGGGTGTGGGAGGAAAGTTTCAAAAAAACACTTGGGTGGGTTGGGTCACCTTGAGAATTTTTTTCTTTTTTCTTTTTTTGAGGGCGGGCTGTACTTAAAAGAATGTGGGCGGGTTGGGTGAAGTGCCAATTCAAAAACAAAATGCTCATCTCTCTGCAGTTAAGTGCACCCCCAGAAGTGCCTATCTGGTTTCTTTCACAGGTTGTTGTGCCCCCTTGCTACTGTGCAGCTAACCTTGTCACTGCATTGTAAAAAAGAGGGAAACAAAAGAGGAAACAAAAGAAGAAAAAGAAAAGAAGAAGAAATGTGATGGAGATGCTATGGCCACATGCAGCATGGTCAGCAGAGTGCGTGGAATGTCCAGCCAATTGATCGTTTCAAAAAAAAAAAAAAAAAAAAAAAAAAAGTCCAGCCAATGGATGTTGCGCTGGCATTATGTGGGCAAGAAGTACAAAACAAAGGGGGAAAGTAGCATAAAACCACCATTGAATAAATAGGAAAATGCTGTCCTGCTCGGTCAGTGTAGGCAAAGCATCACACCCTGATCAGCAGTTGATTGCACCGTCATCATCATCTGAGGTAAGTGCGTGAATCGTGCAGATGCATAACTGCACTGAGTAAGTGTGTGAATCATGCCAGATGCATAATTAAACTAAATGGCACTGCTTATGACGAAAGTAGGAATTTTAATCCCTGAATCCGGCAAAGACCATGCGGAAGGGATGCAATATGGGTGGTAGTAGTAGTTCTCCTGATGCGAAACATCTCCTGAAGCAATATATTGAGTGAACCGTCTCCCACTGAAACAATACAATGTGAGTACCGTCTTCCGCCTGAAGCAATGCAATGCGAGTAGTAGTTCCATCTTCCCTCGAATAGAACGCACAGTCATTATCCCTGTATCTGGACTGAAGGTTGTCCCATATACAGGCATAATAACAATACGTGCTGTTTGAGATACGATGACAGTACTACTACTGCCGTACATCAGTGAGACTGCTCTCTCTCTCTCTCTCTCTCTCTC